CTACTTCTTTTATGTCCTTGCTCTGTTTGTGGTTGTTGTTGTGCAGGGTTTTGAACTGTTGGTTGTTGTGCTGGTTTTGGTTGTGGTGCTGGATTTTGAACTGTTGGTTTTGGTTGTTGTTGTGGTGCTGGATTTTGAACTGTTGGTTGCTGTGCAGGGTTTTGAACTGTTGGTTGCTGTGATGGATTTTGAACTGTTGGTTTTGGTTGTTGTTGTGGTGCTGGATTTTGAACTGTTGGTTGCTGTGCAGGGTTTTGAACTGTTGGTTGCTGTGATGGATTTTGAACTGTTGGTTTTGGTTGTTGTTGTGGTGCTGGATTTTGAACTGTTGGTTGTTGTGTTGGTTTTGGTGCATGCCTGTGTCTGTGTCCATGTGACGATGTAAATGTTTTAGGTAGTCCTGGTGCAGGTGCTTCTCTTGGAGGGTTTGGTGGTATATAAGTTCCACCAGCTGGCACATATGTTCCATCTGCAGCATAATGTCCTACCTGGCTTTTCGTTTTTAAGAAAGCATTTACTAGGTCTGTTTTGGTCTGTTGTAACTCTTTTTCTTGACTTTCCACAACAGTTGCTCTAACGGCGTCATAGGCACTTTGAACTGCCTGTCTCGTTGCTGCATCTGTTATTTTCGTCATATTTTGTGCTACTTCTCTTAACTCTTTGTCGAAACCTTCAGACTTCAGTTTCTTTCCAGATGAGAAGTCGTTCACTAGTTTCACCTTACTATGAAGAGCTTCGAAGGCATTCTTAAAGTCAGCATTCATTAAAGCTTCATTTGAACTGTCTTCATCCGCTTGTATTTTTGTCCTTATTGACCCTATAAGTTGGGCTGCTTTAGCGTTGGCTTGGGCATCTAACCAGTCATTATTAGCTTTTATAATATCTGCGCTTTTCATTGCCTTTTGCATGGCTGCGTCGTTATTTTTACTTTCTTGTGCTAAGTTTTCATACTGTACGGTTTGGTTTTGCAACTGTAAAAGTTTTTCTGCCTTTACATTTGCTTCAACTTCTTTTTTATACTCATCGCTATCCATATATGTCTTCATGGCTTTTTGTTTTATCTCTTCATCTTTCAGTACTTTATATTGAGTAGTATGGTTTTTCAAATTTATAACATCTTGTTCCATTTTTGCTACTTCTGCTGCTTTTTCTGACACTTTTTTCGCATATTCCTCTGTACTTAGTTCTTTCAGTTGTTCTTCTTTCTTCTTTTTCTCTACGTTTAACTCATTGAGTTTCTTTGTGTGTCTGTCATATTCTAGTTTCTTTTCGTTTTCACTTATTTGTTTCTGTATGTCTATGTTTGACTTTTTGACATCTGTTATTTGATTTTTGAGTGAACTCAAATTCATTTGACTTTGAGGGTTATAAGCTGTTCCGTCTGCAGCTCCACCATAGCCTGCCATTTTCGCTAAAAGTGCCGCTCTTAAACCTCAACTCTGTGCACCAATAACTCGGTTTAAAAGCATAGGGTTGCTTGACATTTGTTGCAACATAGTGGGGTCATTCATCATTTGTTGTTGCAACTGTTGTTGTGGTGTCAGTTTTACTATTGGATGTTTCAATGCTCCCTTCCTCTTACGTATATTCTTACGTAGCTTACGTGGCATTTTAAGTGAAGTTAAAAAGCGGTTTTTGACAGATGTTTATATGACACTTTTTGTTCAGCACAAAAAACTACTCAGTCAAAGTGTTGTCAGTTTTGTAAAATAACCGTCTTATCTCATTCTATAAGGGGAAAAGGCTTCTCAATGTATACTTCCTTGGAACGCCTGTAACTTTTCCTGTAGCGACGATAGACCCTTACTTGTCCGGACAAAGTTATACTATTTTGAGCGCTCTACAAAAAAGTCAACGGCGACGACTCTCAAAAACCGTTGTGTAAAAAGTTTTACCGTTGGACAAAAAAGTATATATAGAAAACAAAAAACGTTTATAGTTCATTCAATATTTGAGATAAACCGTTTTTCCAACGGTAACTATTAAATAAAATAAAAAAATAGAGGGGGTCTCCGTTGACGAAAACGGTTTATCTCAAACTTTTCTATGAGTGGTCCGAAAAAAAACAGTTCATTTTTATCTAATGGAAGCCAACGCTGTTAACCACAATTCAAACATTAACAATTCTCAACCGCTAACCAAAGCCAAAGCCCCACAACCTCCAAGAACCGGCATAGCGGTTAGAATAACCACCAAAAAGTCTAACAGCGAATTAAGAGAAATTCTTCAACAAATTTGCTCTAAATATCTCAAAGACGCCGAAGAAAACACACAACCAGACGCTACATACAATACTCAGTTCTGTGAAGTTCTGAACAAAGCAATTACTAGTTCAATTGAACTTACTAAGACAATTCCAAGTCCAATTGAGCTTAGCGATGTCTTAGTTCAGTATTTTCCAACATTTACTAAGCTTATAATGTTGAGAACTTTATACCAAGTTCGTCAAAATCTTCCTCGTTACATCCAACGGTCATTCGACACGAGAATTGCCGAATTCCAAGTCTTTAGTTACGGATATGACGAAGATGAATACGTTGACGAGTTCGGAGACAACTGTACAAAATGGTTTGAATGTTATACGACAACACAATTTGAATTCGACTTTCTCGAATTCAACGCAGCAACCATTCATATCATTGCTCTTTACCTTTCCGAACAACAACAAGACCTCGCAGATGGAGATGTTGTTACTGTCGTCATGAAAACTCCTGAACAATTCGGAAAAAAGAAGTCTCTAATTGCCAAATTCGTTCCAGGACATCAGCTTTTCCAACGCACAGAAGTCTTCTGTATTCCTGGAACTAAGTTCTTTGTCAGGAGCGAACTCAAAGAAAGATATAATGTGTCATTCAATTACACATTATATAATGTTTTCGACCCAGAAGAAGGCTTCTTCCCAGAAGCAATGGAGGAGGAAGAAGAGGAGGAGGAAATACAAGACTCTATCCAAGAAGAGTCCTCCGAATTCACACCAGAAGACTAACAATTTTCCGAATAAAAACTTCATTTATACTAAACATCTTCGGGGCTAGAGGGCGCAACGCGCCTGGAAGCCCCACTTACCTGACCTTATGTGTTATAAGATTTAAAAAAAAGTTCAAATTAAGAAATATAAATTTTTTATTCATAAATCTAATAGTAGAAAGTACAGTGTATTTCACAACACTTAAATTATGGATTATTGAACTGTGGTAATGAAATAATGTCTATAATTGAAAATAAATTTCTAAAACCTGAATTTTTTTAGGAGTAGCTCGAGCATTTGTTTGTCTGATGAAAGCAGTCTTGAAGTTTATGGTAAGCGAAGGAATTTGGTTTTATCGATATTGATGATTAACTTTCCATAGTAATATGGAACATCATCCTAAATATAGATGTTTTACATGATATTTATATTTGATTTGATTAAAATTTGAGATTTGAAAATATAAAAATGCAAATTATTGAATAATGAATCATTTTCGTCATTTATTGTAATTGTTTGTAATGTAGAATTGTTTGTAATCGATATTAGTTAGCTATCATTACTAACTATTTTATGTTTTTATTCATATTTACCTTTAATAAGTTTGTCTTTTTTCATAATTCAAAAGATTTAATATTCAAAATATTGATTTTTAATGAATTATAATTTACTATATAAAGTAATATTGTATCATTCATATGTTACATCTATAACCTATTTTTTAATAGATTATTAAAGATTTTTATCAAACAGTAAATATTCACAACACTATTATAGTGGATTCAATTATATATAGTACATAGGTCAATAAAAATGTATCATGCATATCATTCTTCTAATATTTTTTTGGAATAAAAATTTTGACTTTTTTGAATGAAATCTATAGTATGGTTAACAAAGCATCGATGTTATAAAGCGATATCTCTATATTGTGTTGAATATTTTTAAATTTTATTATCATTCAAATCTTGATTCGTATATAATTCAATAACAAATACACGTTCATAATATATATTAAAAAATTAATAATAATTCATTTGAATTATATAAATAAATTCATTTATTGGATGATTTTGTTTGATCCGTATTTTCAAAGGAGTTTTGATAAATAATATTCATTGAAATATATATAGTTTAGACAATAATATCTTGTGAACTATTAAAATAATAACAAACACATATTTTAATTAAAATATTCACAATTTATCTTACCAATTAAGTTGTTTTAGGATATATGAAAGATATATTCATATAATAGATGAGAAGATTCTGAATTATAAATTTCATACCTATATTTTTAAACATTCAGGAAATGCACAATTGATTTCACCGAAAACTCGTTTTTGCCTAATATTAACTCTTGAGCATCTATAAAAATCTGATGAATCGCTAATGACACTATTAGATTTTACAATTGCACTATTTTAAGATATTCAATCAATGTTCATATAATAAAAATGGTTTTCTGTGTGCACCCTGATAATATATTATACGTTATGTTGCGTAGAAAATGAAATAAATCTGATGAGGTCAAAATACATGATAAACATAGCAAATTAACTTTAATCTATTTTGAAAAACATATTAATAATTGTGAGCTGTACAAAATATTTCCCAAATATTTTGTAAAGCTCACAATTCTTAATATGTTTTAAAAAAATATAAATAATAGTGTTTGTAATAATAATTACATTCATATATGTCAATGCTATCATATCACAAAATAGCAATATCTAAGAACTCATATTCATCCCTAAAACTAGCGTTTAGTATCTCAGCAATCTCTATCGTCCTTTACTGACGTGGAATTGGTTTTTTTTTTGTACGTTATAAAAAAATTGGTATACCCCTCAGGATATTTATCAAAATTTATTTGAAATAACAGATTATATTAATAAAAATACCCTTATTACCTAAATGTAATAACATTTGAACGAATGTTGGGTGAGAAACAGTGGTTTTACGAGATTTTGTAAACTTCAGAATTTCATTTCTTAACGCTAAAAGTGCCACAGCCAAAATTTTCACAAAGATGTCAAGTTCTGAGTCACCAAATGAAATCGGATGTGATTTTAAAGACATCAAACCAATTAAAGTATTCGAATACCCCAGTCAAGCATCAAAAATTATATTGGGCGTCGATTCCAATAATATTTTACAAATATCTTCACAAATTATCGAATTAATTACAAATAACAAAATATCTATCCAAATGGCACTTTATTTGATTAATGTTTTTTCACAAATTCGTGTTAAAGAAATTAAATTATATACGGAACTTTATTTAAACATATCAAACAAATTCTCATGCATCATCCAGCCGAAATATTTGAAATTGGCAACATTATTATATTATAAAGGCCTCAAATTTGAAAACTTCGAACCTCAAATAACAGAAGAAGAAATTATGAATTTATATTCAACAGAATCTCCCTTATACTATATTGCATGGGATAAAGTTGACGATCTTAAATCTAAATTCCCAAAACTTGATGTTGATAAGGAGATAGATGATATCACACCACTTGACTGTGCACTTAGATATGGATCAGAATTGTGCTTCAATTACTTGAAAAATTTAGGAGCTAAATACACTAGAGACTCCGAAGAATATGCTGTTATAGGCGGAAATAAAGACATTTTTATGCAAACGATTGAAGATGGTAAATCATTTGATAAAATGATTAATAGAGCATTGGATTATTGAAACTATGAAATTGCTGACTATCTTAAATCAAATTTTGGACAAACTCCTGATTCAATAGCAGAAAGTATGCATTTCGGAAATTATGATATTGCATCTTATTTATTATCTAAAGGAGAAGATGTCAACAAAATTTTTAATCTCTTTCTTTTCATATTTATCATTGTTTAATAGCATTCTCTTTCTCATCATATTAATCATTGTTTTATTGGATTATCTTTCTCATCATATTAATCATTGTTTTATTGGATTATCTTTCTTTTCACATTTATCATTGTTTTATTGGATTATCTTTCTTTTCATATTTATCATTGTTTTATTGGATTATCTTTCTTTTCATATTTATCATTGTTTTATAAAATTCTCTTTCTTTTCATATTTATCATTATTGTATATAATTCTCCTTTTTTTCATATTTATCATTGTTTTATAAAATTCTCTTTCTTTTCATATTTATTATTGTTGTATATAATTCTCCTTTTTTCATATTTATCATTGTTTTATTGCATTCTCTTTCTTTTCATGTTTATTATTGTTTTATGACATTCTCTTTCTTTTTATGTTTATCATTGTTTTATAAAATTCTCTTTGTTTTCATATTTATCTTTGTTTGACGACATTCTCTTTTTTTTCATATTTATAATTGTTTTATTGGATTATCTTTCTTTTCGTATTTATCATTGTTTTATATTATTCTTTTTCTTTTCATGTTTATCATTGTTTTATTATGTTCTTTTTCTTTTCATATTTATCATTGTTTTATGAAATACTCTTTCTTTTCATATTTATCATTGTTTTATGAAATTCTCTTTATTTTCATATTTATAATTGTTTTATGATATTCTTTCGATATTAATGAATGCCCTCTTAGTATTGCCATCAAAACGAAATCAATAGAAATTGTCCAATTCCTCGTTGACCATGGTGCAGATGTTAACATGAAACTTATTCTCTTTCTTTTAATATTTATCATTGTTTTATAAAATTCATTTTCTTTTCATATTTATAATTGTTTTATTGGATTATCTTTCTTTTCGTATTTATCATTGTTTTATATTATTCTTTTTCTTTTCATGTTTATCATTGTTTTATTATGTTCTTTTTCTTTTCATATTTATCATTGTTTCATTTGATTCTCTTTCTTTTTATATTTATCATTGCTTAATAGCATTCTCTTTCTCATCATATTAATCATTGTTTTATTGGATTATCTTTCTTTTCATATTTATCATTGTTTTATATTATTCTCTTTATTTTCATATTTATCATTGTTTTATAAAATTCTTTTTCTTTTCATATTTATCATTGTTTTATAACAGTTTCTTTCATTTCATATTTATCGTTGTTTTATAAAATTCATTTTCTTTTCATATTTATAATTGTTTTATTGGATTATCTTTTTTTTCATATTTATCATTGTTTTATATTATGGCATTCCAAACGGGAACCGCGGTTGGTTACCATGGATTTCCGTCACCGGTCACATTTTAAAGATTTTTTAAGCCTTATAAAAATATGCTTTGTAAATCATTTTTTGTAAATCGGCAAAAATTTGGTAATTTTCTTCAACTAATAAATCTGCGAATAGCATTTATAATACAAGAACAATCTTTTAAAATGCGTTTGATTCATTTTTGTATAATTTCATATAGGCACATATATTCTTCCGGGACTTTCCGTGATTTTACCGTAAAATCATTAGTTTACACCATTTTTTCCGTATTTTGAATAGTTTACTGCACTTTTTCCGTAAAATTGAGTTACGGGAATCCGCAAAATTTCCGGACCTCATTTTTCATAGAATATAATAATAATATTTGATAAAAAGATATATTATTTATATTTTTGATTTTTGAATTACGGAAAAAGTGAATTGATAACTTGATTTTTTTATATGGTTAATTTTTCAAATGATATTATGAAGATCTGAAATATTAAAAGTAAAAAATTGAATTACGGAAAAAGTGAGGTCAAAAGTGAAATAAATTTGCAGAACAATTTTCATTGAAATAAGCTTTATTTTTCATTATTAATAACAATGCAAAAAAATATTATCACGGGTTCAAAATTTAAAATTAAATATTTTAATAATTTACATCTTATTCTTTATTTTATATTTAACCCGTGAAAATATCATTTAAAAATTGAATATATTCAAAAAGCTTTATTTTTATTATGACTGCATGGGATCCTCATGTATATGATGAGTGGATTCCATTTAAGAAGACGAAATATCCACCAACTCCTGAAACATTGGAAACGAAGTGTGGAAAAAATGTTTCACTACGATCGGCTATTATGAGAATGAGCCTAATCAATCAGACAAAGGAAGGCTCTTTACATACTGTGCCGAATGTAGTGAAACATTAGTTCAAGGGCAGTTCGTGCGATGCATTAAAAAAAGCAGGAAAAATGATTTTAAAGATCATAAGTGCAAATTTTTACTCCCAATGCCCAACTACGTTCCTGCTGAGCACCAAGTTGAGAATACTCAGCAAGCAGTTGGCTCTGGTAATGATCCTTCGTTAGAAGAGATCATTGCCAGGCTTATTGCGAGCCTAGATATAAGCCTTTATGCCACAATGAAGCCAGCATTTAAAAGCTTCCTAGAGAGCTTCGCCAAATGGCTTAAAAATAAAGTCAATCGCGAACAGGGCATCAACTTTACAATCCCAGACATTGAGTTCACACGGCGCGGTGTCAGAGAGGCATTGATTACTTTAGGCAAAACAGACTCCTCTCGGGGCCTAAAGTTCTGCGAGGAATTCCGCATCTTCTCAATTTCCCTGGACTGCGGAACACACGGCAGCCGTCATGGTCTATTCTCTTGTGTGTGCAATCCAGGCAAAACAGATCGCCACCAATTCTTCGACACAACAATTTCGACTAATTGGACATACGAGGACTACCATACGTGGTTTGATTCTCTTAAGGTTAATAAAAACCACGTAGCTGGAGTAGTCGGAGATGGTTTGCCAGCCCAGGTTAAAGGACTCTGCCACTGGAGGCCAGAAGGAGCCCTTTTCCCTGGCTTACAAACCGTGTACATTCGTTGCCTTAACCACGTCTTGAACAATGCTATTGTCCACGCACGTAAGCAATGTCCATTGTTGAATGAACTGATGAATAGAGTTCACCAGATTATCATTATCTTTAAGAATCACGATATGAGAGCGAGATACAAGATCAGGGTTCCATCAATCCCGGAAACTCGCTGGCTCTACATATATGATACTCTGTTTTTCATCTTTGATAATCTGGAAACAATTAATACTGCTTTAAGAAGTGGAGATCTTCCACTATCCCTTTCCAGAGCTACACGTGAACAGTTACAATGGACACGTGATGGAATTCCTCCACTCTTTAAAGATGCTTTAATGATATTCAAGCCATTAAAGCAACTTCAATTATGGCTGGAATCCAACAAGTCCATGGGTGCTTATGCATTCCTGATGATACAACAGTGCCAAGGGATGTTGGATGAAATGGCAGGAAGATTAACGCCAGATGGTGAAGAGATTCTCCGATCAATCACTACAATATTCAAAAATGATATGAAAGAATATGGTAGAATTGATTTGCTTCGGTTTGCTTTCGGCTTTACACCGTTAGCAAGGAAGATCATCAGAGACAAGAAGGGTTTTGGAGGAAAGACAAGCTATCCACCTATAATGCAGTTGAAAGATGTGCAAGTCCCAACGATTCCTTCCCTGAGGATCATCAATCGCGAGATCACATTTGAGAAACTCGGCGAAATCCTTGAAGAAGAACGAACAGAACGTGTTGACGAGGTAGCCGAGCATGATGAAGAGATCCAGCAAGCAGAAGAGGAACAAATGCTTAACGACGATCATGCAGCCGAAACAAATGCCGATGGTTCGAGGAATTCCTTGGTCTGGGATGTTGTAGATGAAGAGATAAAAGATCTATACACATTCATGATAACAATCCTCAGACAAAGAGCAATTGCCGAATCAACAGTTGATCCAACGATCAATAAAGACGATAGAGCCAAGGAATTGAGTGATGCTTACGATTTCTTCATAGAGCAAGATGATTCCCATCTTATAAATGGTCATCATCTTGCTCAAAATGATGGCAAGTTTTGGTACATGAATGGCATAAAGCAACTAAAAGCAATAAGACCAATTGGAAAAAGGATGATGTCACTTTCGTGCAGTGAAGCAGATGTAGAACGTGTAATATCTGAATTGCGAAAGACAAGAAATTCAATGAACGAATCATGCAAAGAAGAATATGTAGCATGCCGCTTCTTCATCAAGTTGAATGATGATCAATTTGATATTTGATTTTGTTTTTTAATAAAATTTATTAAATAATTTGTTTTAAAAAGTATTATTTTTATTCGTAAAGATATTAGACAGAAGGTGGCCAGCCTAATGTCTATCAATCTTTAATATTAGTAGTAATTTCCCGCATTTCTGAATGATGATTGATTAGCTTTGTTGTTATTGATGTAAAACTGGATAAGTATTAAATAATTATATTAATCTTGGCCAGGGGACTGCTGATGGCCAGTCAGCAGCGGCCACTATGAATCATTATAATTATTTAATACCTAAATTGAGGTAAAAAGCAATAAGACTTGCCGAGCCTCATGCCCCTACCTCATATAAATAGAATCACACTTTAGTGAATCAACATCTATAAGAATGAAGTGTTTTGAAGCTGAAATAATATTGAATAGAAATTAATTTTTTCTGAAATTTTGAATGAAATTATGGGAAATAAAAAAATTACTAAATATTGTATTCATACAAATATATTATTTTAAAGGAAAAATAGATGCTGATAGAAACGATGAAAATTTTTGAAAACTTTACAATTAATTTATGTTCGTTAACCACAGAGCTTGCAATCCAAAGCTCACGTTAGACAACAAGAGTCATGAAGTCTCATACTAAGGGATATCCAACATATATTTTAATAATCTAATGTTTGTGACAAATATTCAACATAAAATTAAGTTTTCGTTTCGTTAC